TTTGTACACCAAATCTCAGAGAGACTCTTCGTTGCTCATCCATTCCACCATCTTCCCAGAAGTCCTGACTTTTCTAGTTTTAAATAATAATTAAGTGCACAGGAAATGTATAAGTAACTTATTTTGCTTATAAACAAATTGAGAATGAAACATGGGAACATAAAAGGCACTCCACAGCCAGGTGTGGTGGCATATACCTGTAATCCCAGCACTCTAGGGGCTGAGGCAGGAAGATCTTGAGTTTGAGGTTAGCTCAGACTAAATACTGAGAGCATGTCTCAAAAACAAAAGCAAAGACACAAAAACTAGTCCATTGCACTCCCAGGCTCCTCCTTAGTGACATAGATCTTTACTGGTCTTTGCATTTGCATGAGTACAATTTTCATAAGCTCCAAACATGGGTAGATTAAAAAAAAACTTCTCTTTTTTCTTCTATTACTGGGGATTAAACCCAGGGCCTTCCCACTGTACATCCCTAACCCTTTTTATTCTTTTATTTTGAAACAGGGTCTCACTAAGTTGCTAAGTTATCCAACCTGGACTCAAATATGTGATTCTCCTACCTGAGCTTCCCAAGAGTGCTAGGATTACAGGTGTGCCATATGTGCTGTTCATTTCTATGTAAGTGAATTTAATTTTTCTTTAAGCTACATTTCCACCTAGTAGTAAAAAAAATTTTACTTTATTTAATAAGACACTATTCCAGACTCTGTTTGTTTTGTTTTTCTTCCAGTACCAGGAATTGAACTCATGACCTTACGCTTGCCAGGCAGGTGCTGTGCCACTGAGCTAAATCCACAGCCCCCAGATTTTCTTAAAATGGAGGCTGGGACTGTAGCTCAGTGTGAAAGCTCTGGGCTCAATCCCAAGTACCACCAAAAAAATCTTACTTTTTCTTGGTAAATGTAGTTATTGAAAAAATTTCTCAGCTTTTGAAAATTTAACCAAATTAAAGATTCTCTCCCTTGCTGCATCTTCTTATCCTCTAGTCTTACCTGAGACCATGGTCTTAGTTTGGGAGATATTCAGTTCTTGGCTCTGATATGTCCTGATTTCTCATTGACCGATAAATCTTATTGGGGGCTTTTTAAAAAATCACCTTTTTTTTTGGTACCGGGATTCGAACTCAGGACCTTGCACTTGCCAAGCAGGTGCTTATGCTGCTGAGCTATATCCCTGGCTAAAAAATCATGTTTAAATGGAAAATCTTACAAGTGGATTTTTTTCAGGTGCCTCCAAAGATGTTGTTTCAGCTTTGGAGCACTGCTGAACTCCTATCTCCTTCCCCAAATAAAAGAGGATCCTGTGCCAAAGAGACTTTTAGGAAAGAGAACCATATCAGCTACTTCATATAACATCTGTTATGTGATAGATCTGAAATATCCTCATAGTCTTACACATTCAGAAGATAATTAAGTCACGGGGCACTGTAATCACCAGTGGATTCACCCATTGTTAAATTCAGTAATTAAATGTGCCTGAGTAGAGGTGGGTCACCGGAGCAGTGAGCTAGATGGGCATATTCTTTTCCCTGCCTCCTCCACTTCCTTCTGTCTGCTTACTGGACACCATGATGTGAACAGTTTTTGTCCACCATGTCCTTCCAGCATGATGTTTCTACCTTGGAACATGTGGAACATGGACTGAATCCCCTGCACTGTGAGCCAAATTAACCCTTTTCTCCTTTAAGCTGTGGGTGTTGTGTATTGTATCCTAGGATGGGAAAGTAACTAATAGAGAAAACTGGTACCAGTAGTGGGGTCATTGCTATGACTACCTGACCATATAGTTCAGAAGGCTTTGGAACTTGTTTATGGTGGAAGATTAGAAAGATTTGGAGCCATGGACTAGAAAAGCCCTAGAATGCTATAAACCAAGCTTGGAGGGTGATTCTACTTGGAGCTTACAAGAGCAAAATGCTAGTAAGAATGTGGACAGTAAAGGGCAAGCTCAGGAGATTTCAGCTGGAAATAAGGACTCTGTGGCAGTTGGACTAGAGGCCATGTGTGTTACACTCTGGCAGAAAATGTGTCTTCATTTTGCCCACATCTGAAAACTATGTGGGCAACTAAGATTAAGGGTGGTGGACTAATTGATCTGGCATAGGAAATTTCAAGGCATCCCAACATGCAGGCTGTGGCATGGGTACTGCTGGCTGCATTTAGCCAGATTTAAAGTAAGAATTAGGCACAAAAGTCAGACCCAAAGGATATATCCAGTTTTGCCAGAAAAAAAGGACCCGCCATTTGGGGGCAAAAGATTAGCATTTGTCTTGGTTACTTTTCTCTCCTTGTTGAGACAAAATACCCAATGCCCAAAATGAAGGAAGGAAAGGTTTATTTAGCTCACAGTTTGTGGAGATTTCAGTCCATACTCCACTGGCTCAGAGGCAGAGTGGCACATGGCAGAGGGCAAGTGTTCATGGCAGCGGAACACAGCAAAAAACAAGAGCAAAAGGGTGGAATGGCTACAGGCAGCCTCTTCCTCTCCCTTACATATGCAAACCACCTGACCCAGGGTGGGTGTAGCACTCACATCCATAATCCCAGCATTGGATCATGGATCAATCACAAATCCTAGAAGCCTGCCCCATGACTACAGGAGGATTTGGGGGGACATGCAGACACAAACCATAACACATTAAAAGAATCCAAGTATTTTGTATCAAGATGAAGAGGGAGATGGCTTGAAGACCTCTCAGGAACTGGCCAGACTTTACTCTTCATGAACTCGGTGATGTTAAAGGGTAACTCCTTTCAAAGGCTTTGCTTTCAGAAGAGAGCCTTAGGGTACCCTGTTCATTCTGGGCTGCAGAGAGAATCGTTTCCTCAAGTTCAACCACCCAAGGACTCAGAGGCTACTGCAGCCATGATTCAAAGGAGCCTGACTGCTGCTTGAACTGACAGAATACTTTGACCTCATTCATGTGGTGTTAGCTTTGTGAGGTCAGGAGGGCTTCTACACAGATTTCAAAGGAAGGTCCAGGAGACCAAGCAACATGCCCCTGAGAAGGTGGTGCATGAAGCTGTGAGAGTAAAACCAAAAGTGATGTGGAGACCCCAGAAATTTTGAGATGCCAGAATACAGATCATCTACTGAGGACAGTCACTGGTAGTGAGCAGAGCCAACCCCAGAGAGAGGCCATGGGTACAGCCAGTAATGCCATGGGGCTGGGCCCCCCAAGCCCTTTAGAGCTCACATCTCATCACAACTTGCCCTCGATGCACAGCATGAAGCTATAGGATTTAATGTTTGCCCTGCTGGGTTTCAGTCTTGCTTTGTTCTGATTGCTTTCTATTCCACTATTCCTCTCTCTTGGAATGGAAATGTTTAGCTTGTGCCAGTGTATGTTGGAAGTATTTAATTTTCTTTTTTATTTTTGCAGGGGCTCACAGCTAAGAATTTGCCTTGAGTCTCAAAGATTTTGGGTCTGGATTTTTTTTGTCTTTTTGAGACAAGGTTTCACTATGTAGTTCAGGCTGGCCTTGAATTCACTTTGAAGCCTGGGCTGTCCTTGAACTGGGCAGTGATCCTCCTGCCTCAGCCTTCTGAGTGCTGGGATTACAGACATGTGCCAGCATGCCTGGCTTGGGCATGGATTTTTCAGCAATGCTGAAGCTATTAAGAATTTGGTGACTTTTGCCAGGTGTGATGGCACACACCTGTAATCCCAGCACTTGGGAGTTTGAGGCAGGAGGACCACTGTGACTTTGAGGCCAGCCTGGGCTACACAAGCAAGTTCAAGGCCAGCTTGCACTACATATTGAGATCCTGTCTCAAAAAGCAAGCAAGCAGGAAAGAAAGAAAGAAAAAATTTAATGACTCTTAAGAGAGGGACTAAATGCATTTTATATAATGAGATGGATATGTGGCTTTTGAGGGCCATTGGCAGAATGTTATAGTTTAGATCTAAAATATCCCTCAATAGTCTCATGGGTTTGGAAGGTAATTAGATCATGGGGATACTATAGTCATCATTGGATTCATCCACTGATGAGTTTAGTAGCTAAATGTATTGTTAGGTGGCATCTGATTGGAGGTAGATCACTGGGAGTGGGACCTGGAAGGTTGTACTCTTGTCACCAGATCCTTCTCCTCTCTTTTTGTGTCTGCCTCCTGACTGCCATGAAGTCAACAGCTTTCATCTGTCATGCCCCTTACGGTGTTTCTGTCTTAGAGTCAGCCAACCATGGACTAAATTGCCTGAAGCATGAGCCAAATTAATCCTTTCCTCCTCTAAATTGGGATGCCAGATATTGTGTTCCAGCAACAGGGAAGCTAACTATTACAGCATCCTATTTTTTTTTTAGTGGGAAAAAGATAAAATCCTAATATAAGCATCATCTAATGACTTGATTTTTAAGTTAAATATCCTTTGTATAGATCTATTCTCACTCTTTAGAGGTTGCAGACTATTCAGTACCTTAATTTGTTTAGCAGTTCCCCATTATTGGACAATTAGGTTATCTTGGATTTTTTTCTATGACAAGAAATGCTGCAGCAAACCATCTTGTGCATGAGTCTTTGTGGATGTGTACAGCAATTTCTATGTGACAAATAAGTATATACATTTTTACTTTTTTTTTTGGTACTGGGAATTGAACTCAGGACCTTACAATTACCAGGCAGGTGCTTGTGCCACTGAGCTATATCCCTGGTCCTACATTTTTACTTTTGATAGTGCTGCAAGTTATATTTTCCAAGTGTCATGGCTTATATCTAGATGTTCCCCCAAACCCTCATGTGGTCATAAGTGAGGCTTTTTAGAGGTGGCTTGATCCAGGACATGTGATGCTTGGATCAAGGGTGTGATGCTGGGGCTAAGTGTGTGTGATTACTAAATTAGCCCACTGATTGTTTTAGCATAGTTCAGGGTGTGGATAATGGGAAGAACCACCTTGGGTGTGAGTGGCACCACACAAAAAGTGGATAGCTTGGAAGGGATAAAAGGGAAAGGGAAAGCTGCTACTTGCTGCTTTGCCATGGACTCTTTCCTGCTTTGCCATGGACGTTTCTCCTCTGCAGTGCCCCTCTGGCATGCCCCCTGCCTTGGAACTAGTTGATTATGGACTGAAAGTTCTACAAACTGTGAGCTGAAATAAACCTTCTTTCCTTTTACTTTGGATGTTGGTTGTTTTGTCTCAGCAATGAGAAAAGTAACTAAGACATCAAGATAATAGCAATGTTTCCCTTCTGCATGCTGTTCATACAATGTACCTCTGAAAGTCCTCCCATCAAAAAGCAAAATCTGAGTCCCTGCCCCTTGAACCTGGTGAGCCCTTTGGGACTACATCACTCCATTTAGAGTATGTCATATGTGATCCTATGTGACCTCAGAGTCTGGGTGATAAAAATTACATGCACTTCCACCTCACTTTCTTGGGACAGTTACCATGTGGTAGTCCAGCTGCAATAAGGCTGCCATGCTGGGAGGAAGCCCAAGTTCATCCATATGGGGAGACTACATGGAAGAACCCGGAGACTGTGAGAATAGAATGTAAACAGATACTCAGTCAACCCCTGCTCCCCAATTCCAACTCCAGTCACTACCTGGAAATCTTGAGCCAGAGCCAGTTCAGTATTCCCAATCCACAAAATTATGAGATGTAGCAAAGCATACA